CTCACATGGTCGCGCTGTGCTCCTCGCTGAGGGCTTGAGGATTCAGAACGGCTTCTCAACCCTCTAAGCAATGTCGTGAGGCCAGTACTGTGATCATCCTCACTTAGCAGGATGGGCCAGTGGGACACAGAGAGGTTCGTGGCCACGCCGAGTACCACACGGCTAGGAAGTCGCAGAGCCGGGACTCGAACCCGAGCGGTTGGAGCCTGGAGTTACGTGGGAATGCCAACAACATGGGCAGGAGAGTTAAAGCAAGTGACGCTGAGCAAGGCACCAGACGACGAAACGCTTCTGCAGCTCGAAGGGCAATCCAGTTTTCTCCCTCAACCGGGAGGCTGGAATTTTTAAAACAGAGGAAAATATATATATATATATTTGAAACCTAATGTTTTTCTAGTATATGGAAAAATCCAAGATAAAATAAGTTATCAAAATATTTTTAGCTGCACTGCCCCCCGCCCCCAAATAATAATTTTGGAAGACAGGACTAAATGCACCTGTCGAAAACACACAGTGTCTCCTTTTTTATCAGATGACTGCGATTCGTTCTTCTTCTTTGAAAAGACAGCTTTGCAGAGGTGGATTTCTGGGTTCCCAGAGAATAACAGACCTGGGTCCTAAGTTAACATCCACACACGATCAAATATAGTCGCAATTCTCTGGTCTGAGCAGAGCCAGTGGTCGAAAGAAATAGTCCAGAGAATAAGCAATTTATCTTTTTACGAAAAGCTCGAAACATTCAACTTCGAAGGTAAAAAGGCAAACACCTGTGTGTAGCTACCAAACGGTTCTTCAGAAAAATGCATTTTCGCGCCACACTTTTCTAACGTAGCCACTGAAAACCTCCCACCCCCCCTCCCCAAGGTGAGGCCACCTGGGACGCCCACCTGGCCTCGGTGCCACCGATTCAGTTGACCTCCGGGCTAGACAGCGCTAAATCAGGTCATAGTGAGATCCACGTGCGCAGCTTTCAAAGGCAAGTGGGTGACACCGGCCCTTAAAGTGAATTTGTTCCAGGAGTCTGCTCCCCGGGGTTTTAAACACACTGAGACGTGATCTGAATGTCAAGTTCGAACCACCATCCAGGTGTGCAGCGTGCTGAGCGAGAGCCGGAGGGGCCGGCGGCATGCGTGACCCTCTCTCAGGAGCCACCTGGACCCCGCCGGTCCTGACTGAGGACCGGTTCTAAGTGGGCTGCGGGGTCACAGGAAAGGCTTCCGAAGGAATCGTCACACCTGGGAGGAAAGGGAACAGGTGGAGTCGATGCAGAGACTCTTAACGTTACCCACTTTCTGCTGAAATTCTGCTGCAGACAGGAAGCATGTCAGGCGTGCTTTCTCCAGCCCGACGTGTCTGCGTGTCCGCCTGTCTTCATCGGCAAAAGGCAGGTCTCCTGCGCACGCGTCAATGGACACGGACGTATGTCCCGCCCCCGGCTTCAGCTGTGGCACCGCCTGGACAATGCCATTATGGAGACCCTTTCAATCAATCACCTTGTGATTCCTAGTTCTTTCCAAGAGACCACAGAGACTCTGAGGTCAGAGGCCGTTTGGGGACAATGCAGACACCCACGACGATTGTTTTCAGTTGATTCTATTAATTTATTTTGTATTTAGATCAGTCGGGTGCTAAATCCCCATGATTACGAAAGTCGCCGTCGCCATGATACATGCAAATTATCAAAGCAAATTAAATCAGCGTGTGATGCTTACTCGTGGGAACGTGTCTACATTCTTATGTAAAAAAGCTGTAAGGGTAACGTGGAAAGGGACGTTGGCGTTTTCTACGTCATATTTGGTCGGTTTCATACCCAGGAAATAGATTTTAGACCTCTGTCAGATGATGCCCGATTAGCATCACCTCTTCAGAAAGTCATGACGTTGTGGAATGAACCGGAAATCCACCTATTATTTCATATGTGTTTGAAAATCAATTTTTTTTTCTAAAAAAATCAATAGTTGGGGGTGTTGCGGGGCACAGAACTTAGATTATAAAACAATTTAACCATCCTACTCTGGGGTGGATGAACTTCTCTCATTTAGAATTTTTAACAGCTTCATTAAGGTATAGGAGACAGACCATAAAATTCCAGTTCAATGATTTTTGGGAAATGTGTGGCGGGAGCTCTGTAACTCTGGTCACGATCTAATATGAGGACATCTCGGGGTCCACTTACAGTCCGTCCCCAGCCTCACTCCCAGACTCATGTAGTTATGGCTTTGATGGGTTTGGGCTTTCTGCCAACTGAGAAAATGACATGGTGACTGAGGTCCTAGCCTCTGTGAAATCGTCGCTGATAGCTCTGTGTGTGTGTGTGTACACGCGTGCGTGTGTGTACACGTGCAGGCTTACCGTCCCTCGAGTAAGTATTAGCACCGAGCCTACCCGTCGAGAAAATGATATGGTGACTGAGGTCCTAGCCTCTGTGAGATCGTCGCTGATGGCTGTGTGTGTGTGTGTGTGTGTGTACGCGTGTGTGTTCTGTACACGTGCAGGCTTACTGTCCCTCGAGTAAGTATTAGCACCGAGCCTACCCGTTTCTTTCCTCTGTTTTTAAGCAGAAATACAAGCCGAACGTTAAAAACGTCGACGGTGGCCTACGTGGGTTTGCAGAGCGAGGAGCTTGTAATCTGTTAGTCAGTATATATTTATTGGTCTACACTTCCAAGCCGTGAAGTTATCAGACTGAATGACAGTCCCGTTTGAGTTCTGTGCTCCGACAGTCGGTGGGCGCTCCCCGTCCTCCCAGCGCGCCATCGCCTGGTGCGTTAGGGATTGGGGGGCGGGAAGGAGGGGCGGCAGGAAAGAGAGAGACAGAGAGATTCTGAATCAGAAGGCAATGGAACGGTCGTGACGTGTGGAAATTTGAGCCACAGCAGCTGCAGCCAAGTGACCTCTATCTTTGTTCTCTGGCAGTTAAACAGATACAGGCTTCTGTTTGTTTTTGTTTGTTTGTTTGTTTGTTTTCACGTGGTCACAAATGACACTATTTCATTCTTTTTTATTGTGAAGTGATATCCATATATTACTTCATATACTCCACCTCTTAGATATATATATCTAAGAGCATCTACTGATAGACACACACACAACAATGTCTGGATTTCTGTTAAAATCAAAGGGAAATAATGGACATTTGGGGTAAAGACCACGGTGCCAACACAGCCGTAAAGTAGCGTTTCAGTGTCTTTTACCATATTTCACGTTTCTGTGGAACGTGGCTTTATCTTAAAACCTATCTACGTGGAAAGCTTCATGAGCCATGCGAGTTTTAATCGGCCCGTCTCCAGGTACAGCCACTGCTTTGCTCCATGGGTGTACAGAGTGGAGAAGCCTGAAGAGTCTAATATTGACTACGGAAAGCATTTTATATGTCTTCTCTTTCGACGAGATTCCTTAGGAGAGAGACAGAATGAGGATAAATTCCTAGAGCAGTGAGAAGGAGGAGGAACCTGGGGCTCAGATAGACTCTCGTCTGACCCAGCCATTCTGGATCAAAGCGAGACCGTGTCCGGGGGAGGTGGGCAGGGGGCAGGTGACAGCAAGGGAGGACATGAGCTGACCCGAGATGCTTACTCTGTAGAGGCTCCTGTCCGGCTGTCAAGTGATAGGGGGGCTAAACCCCATTCCCTCGCTTTGGCCTTCGAAGCCTGGGCTGTGTGACGTCAGTGATGGACTTCACCGCCTTCCTAGCTGTCTGACCTCTGCTGAGCTTCTGTCCACCCCGCCCCCCCACAGCTCCCCTCCCCACCTGCCTCGGACAACGTGAGTTTGAGAGTCCAACACCCCGTCCTCCTCTGCGTCTGGGTACCACGACCTGCTTCTCTGTTGCTGAAGGGGAATCTACCCCACGTAAAGTGATCGTGAGGAACCCGCTTGTACCAATGTCCACTGTGACGTTACAGGAGCCTTTTTCAATGACGGGGCTGTCAGCTTTGCTCCTTAGAATTCTGACAGCTTAAAAGCCACCCACGTGTTTATGCAAAGGAGACGTTCTGTAACGATTTGTCACACGCTCGGCCTCAGAGCGGCTCTGGTCATGAAGTCCAGAACTCGAGTGACTTTTCATGATAACACTGTTTATTTTAAGGGGCAAATACATCCTGTCTTCAGAGAAAAGCAATGTCTACAGTGCCCAGGTGTGCTTTACTCAGTAAGCCAACATAAGCACTTTCGTACCGAGGTCTGAGGTGTAAAATTGCCCTCCCTCATTATATGAGGACCATTATCTGAGCTACCTGAGCTGAGGGCTAGTGATGTTTTTCTAAGCGCACAACTTCCAACGAATGTATTTTTATAAATATGTACTTGGAATTGCCTATCTAAATGTGTACTGTCTAAATTTCCCTCAGCCGCTGACCAGCACCATCCTGCTCTCTGCTGCTATGAGTTTGACCCTTTGAAGCACCTCATGGAGTAGAGTCACAGTATTTGTCCTTTTGTGACCGACTTCTGTCACTTAGCATAATGTCCTCAAGGTTCAGCCATGTTGTTGCATGTGACAGGATTTCCTTCTTTCTTAAGATTGAAAGGGAGCTAGCTATTATAAAAAAAAAAGAAAATACAACAAAAGTTGATGAGAATGTGAACAAATTAGAACCCTTTACAGTGTTGGGAATGCAAAATGATGCCACCACGGTGGAAAACAGTACTCAGCTTCCTCAACCAAATTAAAAACAGAACAATCTTAGGACCCAGGCTTCTCACGTCTGGGTCTTTATCCAGAAGAATTAAAGTCAGGCTCTTGGAGAGAGATCTGCACAGTCGTGTTTACTATAGCATATTCGCAAAGGCCAAGATGTAGATGCAGCTAAATGTCCCAGGGCGGATGAATGTGCTGACCCTTTTGCACATTAAGGGTGAGAAATACGAACGCCATCCATAATCGCACGCTAAGTCTTCACCGTCTTAAAGGCCGGGGCTGCGTAGGGGCTGTGCATGCTCCCCCGGGGTATCAATCACGTGCACATGACACCAACTTCTGTTCTTCTGAACCGCAGGCACGTCCGTCTGGAAAGCCTTCTTCTTCACGCCCAAGTTCAGCCCCGAGGGCGCCAATGGATGCTTTCCCACGCAAGTGTGTCTCTGTTACGGGCACTTCGTCACCCGCCATCACCCGCCACTCCTCTTCGACCTTTCCAAAGACCCCAGGGAGAGAAACCCAGTAACCCCGACAAGCGAGCCTCGGTTCCGGGAGATCGTGGCCACCATGGAGGAGGCCGCCACCCGCCACACCCAGACGGTGCGGGACGTCCCCGACCAGTTTTCTCTCGGGAACATTCTCTGGAAGCCGTGGCTTCAGATGTGCTGCCCGTCATCCTCCGGCCTGTCTTGCCAGTGTGACCGAGAGAAACAGGACAGACAAGTGAGCCGTTAGCCGTGGTGCGTCTGGGGACGTGTGGCCCCCACGCCACCTCCTTCGTGACAAACACACGCGAAGAGTGGCACGGGGCGAAGCCAGCACCTCGGATCAGATTCTCTCTCTACCTTTTCACCTGAAGGCGCCATCGAGAGCTTTGCAGAAATTAGAGGGACAAATGTGAGTCGTGTGCCTTACGTGGCCGAACTTCTTGCACTGTGGAAACACATAGGGGGGTTTCACAGAGAGCGTCACCTCGAGAGCAGACGGGTGATAGGGCAGGGCCAGAGGTCACCTGCTCACCCCTCAGCGAACGCGTGTGATCCACGGGACACGGTGTCATTTACGCCACAATCTGACACATCGCTGTGACTCCGTCAATGCCACTAAAAGGGAGAATAAAGCGTAAGAGACGTTTAGCAAATCTTAACATATACAGCTTTATAACGAATAAAGGACCATCTTCTTTACCGATAACAGATGATAACTTCCAATTTAGTAATTGGAAGGCAGTTATTATCAGTATTATTTAGAACACATATGAAATATTATTCAGAAGATATATGCTCATCTATATACGCAGTTTATTTCTTTCAAGAAGGTTAAAATATTTAAACTATAGAACTAGAAGGTTATCAGTATCTAACTAAAATCGATACAGTGTCACAGATAATGTACTTTTCACGTGTATTTCTCCTTTCAGAAATTGTTGCAAATCTGTCACATTGTTTTAGGAAATACTCTTATTAAAGATTGCACTAACATGTTAATAGTCTGAGAGGATTATTGTTGAGATTATCATGCAGAAACTATTTAAAGCCACTATTACGAACTTATGTTTTACGATGATCGTGTTTACTCAAAGTTTAACGCCCTCGATGCAAATAGACTTTTAGAAACACTTAATGATGTGGAATGTGTGTCGGAGGATTAAATAACTCGAAACTTGTTTACAGATTATGTGAAGGCATATTTATGTGTAGAATGATTGTCTAACCCGCACAAACAAAAAATGAAGGACTCACATACCTCTAGAGGTGAAATGAGCTTTGAAAAAGCATGGGCCTCGATGTAACTTAACTTAGATCGCCATTATGTTTCGGGGCATTTGAAAATCAGGTTTCTTGGCAATAACCATTCACCATCTGAAAGTGTCGCCTAGGATGTACGACAGGAAAACAGAACCCTTTTGTCCAGGGGAGACCTGATCGTCTAGAAGACCTGGCGTATTAACAG